TTATTAAAGTCATGTATATTTTACATTTTTAATTTATGTATAAGTCATGTTACAAAATTTGAGTAATTTTGCAATTTGTATGCAAAAAAAAAACAACAGATTTTTTCGAAAACTGCTCCAATTTTTTTCTTTAAACTTTTGGTAGGGACAGTGATAAATGTACTTTGTAACACAAAGGACACTTTGCAGTATTCTTTCGTTTTCTTCCAAAAATTACTAAAATGTAATATATTTGACTATTCTCTCAATTTGTTAATATTTCATTAGCAGCGATTTCTTACATTATTATATTTACGTGTATATGAGCTTTAAATGATGTCATACAGATTCTCGAAAATAAAACTTTTCAGTAAAAACGAGCGCAAAGTTCCACATTTTCAGAAACAATATTCTGAGATTCAATAAATAATTCTCTGTTTTGAACCCTACAGGGTCGGAATTAAAATTATTTGTGAAATAAGGTCTAACAGTCATACAAAAAAAATGTGGACCTACCTATGTCTGCGAAATAATATTTTTTTTTCTGCGGCACAGAGTGAACACGACTTTAAACCTCATTTTGGTGTGCTGAATTATTTCGTATCACCTACGGTTTGCGAGTCATTAAGAATAGAAAAAAATGTGAGGGTTTTAGTTATTTCTTGATGGTAACCATATTTTACACTGCGTAAAAACTGATAAAATAATAATTGTACTGATACTGTAGTTTAAAATGAATAGTGAAATAGAAAAGTTCATCACAGGAAAGGGCACGAGGTAAGCCAAGTATTTTTGCGAATATTTTCTCCTCTTGTTAAAGACGGACTCAGTGTCGATTGACGTTTATGATCTTTTATTAATCACCAATAGTAGTCGGTCATTACGGTGACATTACGGTAATTCTGGTATCTGATTTTCATCTGCTTTATACCCTGATGAAACGATTCTCCTTGTCTTCACTTAGTGATTGCACTCTTTTCCGTGAAGTATTCAAGATGAAAATGGAGAAAATGTAACTTGAAGCTAATATCCAAGCCTCTTGAATGTTTCGAGCATAGTTTTATTAATATACTCGTATCGAACATCTTAACACTGCTCACAAAAATGAAAAGAGTTCCAAGGTTAAACCTCTAGGCCAGTGTTTTTATTTCTAAAGCCAGCATGCTTAATTAGTTGGCGAATATCGGAACATCAAAAATACCTTCTTTGGCTTTTGTTTCTGATAGCCGTGGACAAGTTTAAAAATTTATTAACAAGAATGGCCAGTTTTGTCACAGGCTTTAACAAATTGCTAAATTATTCCAGCTCTGATTTGAAATATGATGATGATGATGAGCATGAACTCTGAAAAATTTCGAAAATGGAAAAAGATTAAACTTTTTGGGCGTCTTCCTATAACAGCAATATTGCAAATAGACATTTTTCCTTAAAGCATTCCATTCTTCAAAAAAGGACTTTAAATAAGGTCATGTACATTTTTTCTCGAAAATCTGAGAATCTTTTGCGTAATTTGGAATGGAATATAGGTAATTTAATAAAAAATATTTCATACAAAAAAACATTTCAAATATTTTAATTTTTTGAGGGAATACAAAAATGTAATCTTATAAAAATGAGGCAGTTCCGATTTTCGGTGAACACCGTTTTCAAAAATTGCAAAAGTTTAATATGGGAAACCAGGAATTAATGTTTAAGATTTTTGCCTGAACGAAATCTAATTAAAATTAGTGGTGCTCGACCAACACATCCCTTCTCGCATCAATTCTAAATTTTGAATTTTAGAAAATTTAGAGAGTTCAACAAAATGGAGACCTGCGGCGTTTTGGTGTGTTTCATGTTCTGTCCATGGAAACAATTTGAAGAAAAAATTTGGAGCCTTTTTGAGAATTTTTTATAAAGTGCATTAATTTTAAGCACAAGTCCGCGAAAAATACTCCTTCTCAAATTTGTACATGACCTTTTTAAAGAGTTGATTTTCTAAACCATATTTTGATTAAGGTAATCTCTGTCTTCAATTTTATAATTGTTAAATGTTAAAATTTTGCAATTTTCGAAAATAGAGAATTTGCCGGAAATGAGACTAGCACGTTTTTTTCACCGTTCTTTGATATGGAGAAATGGAGAAAACCTTTAAAAACTCATGGAGAAAATCTTTAAAAATATGAAGCCTTTTTTAAAACAAAAAAAAGTTTTATAACATGCCCAAATTTCACGCAAATTCGCGCAAAACTACTGACATCGAAAAATTGCACATGATCTTATTTCACGATCTGTCTTTAAATAAGAGATTTCATTAACGAAAAAATCTCTATCTTCAATATTGTAGTTGTAGGAATTCAAAGAAAGAATTGAAATTTTCGAGGAATAATCAAGTTCAGCGAAAATAAGACTTTTGATGAAAGTAAATAGAGTTAGTTGGCAGAACGTACTGAGTGTTTGATTCTGAGTAACTTTGAGGAAAAATTATTGGCAGCTATGTTTTTGACAGAAATGCAGAAAAATTTGGAATAATGTCGCGAGTTGATACAACTGTCACTCTTATCAAAACTTTGAAAGTGCGTTTGGTTAGCTCAGTACGTATCGCTTTTTATTTATAATGACCTTATGAATTAAAAAAATACTGCATAAGAGACCATTAGGAATTTGGGGGCAACTTGAGAATAAAAAGGAATTTTAGTGAAATTTTAAAACAGAGGTAAACAGTGCACTTTTCTAGCGAAACAAAATAAAATTAAAAAAAAATAAAATACGTGTTAAAAATTGACAATATTGGCCCCTACGGAGTAGCTTATAAGAACAGCTATGTTGGTAATAAATTACAAAGATAGTATTGATTAATCAAGTATCCTGATAGTTAATAAATCCTTACACAATGAAGATTTATTGAAAGTGAATCAAAGTGTAAAATTTTTGATTTGGAACAGCAAATAATGTTGCTTCATTAACAAGCACAAGAACTTCAACTACAGCAAGCTCAGCAAGAACTATTCTCAACAACAACAACAACATCAAGATAATTATTAAAATTAAAACAGTGAAGTGCAACAAGAAAATTCTTCTTGATAAGTGCAGTAGTACTAAAAGAAAGTGAGATATGATTTCTTATCAGAGGTAACAGATGGAAGTGAAAACGTAAATTTATAAATCAAAATCTAACCAATTAATATCTACAAAACTCTCGATATTATTCCAAATTTTTCTGCATTTCTTTAAAAAAATAGCTGCCAAATTTCCCACAAAGTTACTAAGAATCAAATTTCAAAATGATTCATTACAAATGAAGATTTTCAAAAACATTGTGGTTTTTGTTATGTTAAAAACAAACAGGATTTCTCATATGGACACCATATTTAAAAACTCTTTCAGTCCTTCAGTATGATATTCCAGTCTCTTATACCAATGAAGAAATCAAAACAGAACTAAAAATACATTTTTCTCAATTAACACTGTCTAGAGTCTCTGAGAAAAAAGGGAACAATTAGTTCAATTTGTGCAATTGAACTTACAATGATCAAGGTAGATAAATTATTAAATTACTACTTTCCTAGATTACGACAATGCGACAACAAATTTTAAGACACCAAGTTAAAATAATAAGCAGTAAGCCGTGAGAGGTGGCGTAGTGCATCAACTGATGTCTTTGCAGTTGCCTCTGACCGGAAGGTTCTATCTTCGAGTCCCACGGTGGTAGAATTTTCGACACTACGTTATTCGAGTTCAGTCGCTCTCTGGAGAATTCTTGCGGCTGGCTGCTTTGTGCGGTAGTTTTCCGTGGTTTCTCCGATCACTATCAGGTGGATGCGGAAGCAGTACCCTAACAAACGGGTCAAGGATCGCGCACGATCTTTCCTTCCTCTTCCTTGTCCTATCCTCAGCCCTTACGTACATCCACACTTACATGCATTACACTAAGACACGTGCCGGGACACCGATCGGGAGCTTAGAGCTTGTCGCGGATGGGGCGGTGCCCTGCTGCAGAGATACCTGGTTAGGGGAAAATGTCCCATTTTCGTTGAACTCTCTGAATTTTCGGAAATTGCTAACTTGAAAATAATATGAGAAAGTAAGTGCTGCTGTAGCACCAATTGTTTAATTGTTTAAGTGCCTATTTGCCTTCCTAGTTCCGACTATTTGTGCCAACATGTTCAAGCTCTAGTAATAAGGTACAAGAGTCGACACGGGCCGAGGTACTAGTGCCAGACGGTTCTTGGCCGCAATGGGCTAAGGAGATAAGGAGTGGGGCTAGGATTATGGTTGCTTGGGTGTATAAAGACAGTGAAATGATTGAACCGAGGGCAGAAAGCGTCAGATGATAGCTCAGAGTCAAGCAGACCTAAAATGTCAAATGCTGACGCTTTAAGGTGTGCATTCTGAAACTGTAATCGCTAAGAATTATCCAGAAAAACCGTTGTATGTGAAGTTATATTGTATTATTTGAATTCCAAGGCGCATGCGCATGTAATGATGAATATTCCAAGATCCAATGATGTGTGGTGTAAGATACAATACTATCGTGTACTATAAATCGCCTTTTCTACAATTTTTAAAGGTCATTTATCATCTTACTGTTTCTAATTTTTTTTAATAGTAGTGAAAAAATTGAACACATTTTTATATTACAGAATATTTCTAATGCAAATAACATTGTGAATTGTTAGTTTTTAATCAGAAATAGAAATTGTGATACAATGTACAACAGTCGAAAAGGGATGTTGGGGATGTACATAATAGTAAACATATCTTATGCTGATTACATCATTTTGGGCAACCTAAATGTAATGTCATTCTTTGTTTCATTGCGTTTGGATCAGTAACCATACAGTTAAGGGGGAACAAACATCCCCAACTAAATGTATTACTCCCCCTGTGAAACCCAGGAGGATACATATTAAATACCCTTCCATTGAACAGCTGACATGCACTCTTTCAGGTTTGTCAAAGCGGGAGTATCTGCCCGCATACAACATACTGTTCAAGCAATCTCATCTCACTTCAAGTTTAAAATAGATGGAAAAACTCACATTCATACTGGGAAATCCAATTCCAACAAGGAAGTTCGCCATCCAGTTGACCAATACAGCAATGGACATAGCTGCTGGTCGTGGTCCTTGGGAAAAGAGCTCCGCAGTTATCATCCACGGGATGGATCCAGGACCCACAGCGAAGAACACCACAAAGCTCAACGTAGATACCACAGACCAGTATGACATCCAGTCAATCATGTCCTGGACGTAACCAAAAAACTCCTATCAGGCATTGGTAAATGTTCTCCTTTCCCAATACGCTGGAGGAGATTTTATTCTAAACAATAACTACAAATAAAAAACAAATTCTGTAAAAACACAAGCATTAAAATCATAAATCTCAAAGCAACATATGGGTCAAGGTGCTATACGCTAAGTGATACAAAATACATGACAAATCGTGACTAAATCTCTCCTCCAGACAATGTCAGGAAAGTTGTCGTGGATAGAGAGGGAGGGCAAGAAAACAGGCAGTGAGGGTGGAAGCATCAAGCAAAAATAAAAGCCAAAACATGCCAAAATGTTTCTGTATAACGTTTGATAAATAAAACAATTTCAAGCAATTATACGCAAAAGTGAAGATCTATTCAGTTTACTGAAATGAAAGTATAAGCAAACAAAAAAAACCGGTAAAAAAGTTAATGGCAATCCACAGCAATTAATTTTCTAATTTTTATTCCAAATCACATCACTACCTGTGTGCCCTTGGTTGTAGGTGTGGTTATCTATCCACAACATGATTACATTCCAATTTACGTGGCTACATGCCACTTCTAAACATTCTTAGTTTTTTCCATAATCATTATGTAATAAACAAATTATAGTATATTCTTTAACAAGCGCATAATGATAGCTATTACTCACGAGTTGATGTTTACGGCACGAGCGACGTAGGAGCCCGTGTCGTAATTTCTACGAGTGAGTAGTACCCATTATGCGCGAGTAGAACATTATATTTTCTCTACGACATCGAAATTTTCAGAATAGATTTGAACAGATTTTTTGTTATTCGGCAAACACGCGCTTAGCTCCTTAGCAACCAACCATCAACGCTTTAAGAGCGCGTCCATAGCAACGACCCTTAAAATGCTCGAGTCCATTACAAATATTTTAGCGAACTCTCGAATTTAGATTTTACCACTGTTCATAAATCTTTCTATAAATATGACCCTTTTGACCCACTTTACCCTACACCTTTTTGTCCCATTTCGTCCATTTCCCCCATGACTCATTGGTTCCACTTGCCTCCCTTTTTCGTTTGCTCTCTTGGCTCATTTTGTCCTCTTGTGCAGTTTTATCCCGACGTCAATCTTTCCCTTTGTTCCATTTGTTCAATTGTCTCATTTTGTCCCATTCCGTCCCCTCGTACCATTTTGTCCCCCTTTCCCATTTTGTCACTGTCTCACTTTGTTCCCAGTCGCATCGACCCATTTTGTACCCTTGTCCCACTCTGACCCGTTCCATTTTCCTCATTTTGTCCGATTGTCCTATTTTTTTAATTGTCTAATTTGTCCCCACTTCCCAATTTTGTCCCCTTGCCCTCTTCGTCCTCCTTTTCCCGCTTTGTCGCACTTGTCCTTCCTCGTCCTTTTGTTCCTGTCGCGCACTGCGATGGTTATTTAAAAACGGTATTGCAAATTGCAAAGACAATACAATTCAGCCCGTGGAATCCGAAAGTTCTAGGAATGTGATTCGTCGACAGGCCGTGGATTCCACGGAATCCACGGGAGCGGAACTGGAATCCACGGGACGTGTAATCAACGTCATTCGTTGAAACAGCAGAAATACACATATTATTAAACGGTCGTAGAGAATTTTTTTTCTCGTATTCCAATTTCCACACAAAATTATCTAATAAAATGTCATCATTCTTCAAAATTCATTGGTTTCCTTTAAATGTACACGAGTTCTGCCTAATTCGGCAGTGGCACTGAATTCTTCCCATGCGTCACGGAAGTAATGGACACAAATTTAGGGTTACGGGAAAGAGGATATATGGGGGGGGGGGCGATTAGTGTCAAATGAAACTTAAATTATTAAGCAATATTCTACAAAAGGAGACATCATTGAACTTTCCATTACATTTTTGGTGATTTAGTTATTTTGGGAACAGCTTGACATTCAACAGCTTGAGTGGTCAGATACGTGCAGAAACCCGAAATCTACGTAAAAATAAATTAAAGGGAAAACAGAAAGTTAGATATAAAGCGACTATTTGAATTTCGGTGCAATTTAATCTCGAGAGAGCGCAGGCTTCTGCGGCAGAAGCCAGTAATTACTTTGCTGTCCGGGAGGCGCATGCATTTGGCATTTCATCCAGAGGAAGGTCGTAGAATGGCGACCGAAACGATGGCACCTGTGCCAAAAACGAGGCATCTCCGTGAAAGCCACGTAATTATTACAGGATGTAGCAGGATAATAGGGGTAAAAATGACCTCACTTAAAGAGCACCTCACAAATTAGGTCGAAACGTTTTAAAATGTACATTTTTGTAACCTGACTGGAATCGTCGTTTTTATTGGAATATTTTGATTTAAAATAATTTTTAATTTTTCGACATTAAAAAATGTTAAATAACATGATAAAAATGATTCTTTTAATTTTTTTTATTTTTGAACATTCGATTTTGGCGCCAAAAGTAATCCGTAAGTAAGTAATATTTAGTAAATTAGTTTAAGTAAGTAATCAGTAAGTAATATTTTTGTATGGTAAAATACTATGATTTTCATTCAAAAATATTTTTTCCGTAGAATAGTGGTTAACTTATGAGTCATTGACTGATAAATAACGTAAACGAGAATGATTATTTTTTTTTAATATGACACCAATAAGAAAACTCTGAAAAAAAATCAGTAGTGAAGACCACCTTATTACCAATTTGTAGGAATTTTTTAGAGTCGTCACCTCAGAAGAGCACACAGAAAAATAATAAACAAATAAAAGAAAAAGAAAACAATAATTTAAAAAAAAATAGAATTTCCCGCCTTGTTTTTGAAAAAACTCTCCAAGATAGTTGTCATCTATGTCTCATATTTTTATCACCATTTTATCTCCGAGTAATGATATGAAAAAATCAAAAACCGAAAATTCGTATTTTTTGTGATATCTTACAAAATAATCAGGCTTCCGTTCCGAGAGTTTGAGAAAATTATTTTCAAAATAACAGTAAACTTGTTTTCTATTCAAAACTGAATTAAGTTGGGGAAGCATTTTTACCCCCTTATCCTGCAACAGCCTTCAATTGCATCGCTGAGCAATATTAGAATGTTTACTGGCGCACAATATCGGGCGCATAATGCTGCAACACACAGTTCAGAAGCTGGCCGTTCGACGTTAGGATAATAAACTAAGTTTTAAATCAATTATTTATAAAGTGCGAAATATTCGCACGGGTGTCTTGTTTCGAAATTGAATTTTCGAAGTTGCATTCCAATAATTTCGAGTAAAGAATTTGTAGCTCCCCGGGAGAGAAAAAAGAAGAGAAAACTCGGCTGCATTCGACGGACACGCAATGGATAGCGCTACAATATGCTTGCATAGGTGGAAGGAATGGAGTCAGCAGTAAAAATCTACGGATGTAAGGAAAAATAAATTTCTTAGAGGAAATGTGATTAAAGAGAGGTTTTGAGTTCACTTAGATTTTTTAACGTATAAAAAGTAAACAATCGTATTGTTCGGGAAGTAGAATGTACACACGTTTTCTTGAGCTCCGGAATCTCTACTCCAATCCTTTTTCTGTACTAACTTTTAAACTGAATTATCAATAAAAGCTAGCATTGACAGTTTTTGGGAACATTTTATAACAAATATTCGCTCGCGTGTGTTCTATTTTTCTAATTTTCAATATGCACAGAAATGAAAACAAAACTGAGCAACCTACAGTCATTTGAGAGGCGTCTGGTTTCGGTAGATACCCAACAACTCGGGGGGAAAAAAACAAACGATGAATCAGTTTCGATTTTGTCAGAAAAATGCAATTATTTGGTAGTGTTAATCCGCGTGTTCTCATACAGCGCCACAGACTGAATTGTCCGTCGCTAGTTGAGACACAACAGATGTCAGGTGACAGCATGGCCGCTTAGTATCGCTATGGTACAGCAACGGTTTTGGTATTCTTAGTAATGACTTTTGTCTTGAACACATATACTATTGTATGTTATTGCAATATATATATATATATATATATATATATATATATATATATATATATATAT